CCCTCCTGGCCCCGTGGTGACCCCTCAGGGTGCTGCACCCCCAGCCCTTGCTCCCCCTTTGAACACAATAAAGGTCTCCGTGCGGAGGAGCCGCTGCCTCTGCTCCTGCTGGGATGGGACACAGGCTGGGAAGGGGACAAGGAGCTCCATGGGGTGGCAGCTCCTCTGCTGTGCTCCCATCCACCAGAGGGATTGCCTGGAGGTGGTTGGAGAAAGGCTTTGGGTTTTTGCCTTAGGAGCTCCAGGGATGGGTTGGGGGGTGTTCCTGGGCTGGGGGAGCCCCAAGCTCCTCTTGCCTGGGACCCCAGTGTGGGTCTGGGGGGTTCAGGGAAGGTTGAGGGATGCTTTATGGAATCTGTGGGATTTGAGATGGTCCTTGGCATTTGGGGAGATCTGTGGGGCTTAGGAAAAGCTCCTGGGTGTGGGAAGGGTCCCAGGGTTTCTGGAGGATCCCTTTATGGAATTTGTGGGATTTGAGGAGGTCTGTGGGATTTAGGGAGGTCTCTGGGGCTTGGGAAGGGTCCCAGGGTTTCTATGGTGTCCCTTTATGGAATTTGTGGGATTTGAGGAGGTCTGTGGGATTTAGGGAGGTCTCTGGGGCTTGGGAAGGGTCCCAGGGTTTCTATGGTGTCCCTTTATGGAATTTGTGGGATTTGAGGAGGTCTGTGGGATTTAGGGAGGTCTCTGGGGCTTGGGAAGGGTCCCAGGGTTTCTATGGTGTCCCTTAATGGAATTTGTGGGATTTGAGGAGGTCTGTGGGATTTAGGGAGGTCTCTGGGGCTTGGGAAGGGTCCCAGGGTTTCTATGGTGTCCCTTAATGGAATTTGTGGGATTTGAGGAGGTCTGTGGGATTTAGGGAGGTCTCTGGGGCTTGGGAAAGGCTCCTGGATGTGGGGAGGCTCCCAGGGTTTCTGGGGGGGTCCCAGCCCTTTTCCCAATGGGTTTACCTTTGGCAGGGGACCAGCCACATCCCATTTGGCATGGGAGAGGAGTGGGTAGGGAATTAGCCCTGGGAAGGGCTGGTGGGCTCTGCCATCAGCAGCAAGCACAGCAGAGCAGGGAGGGGCTGGGCTGGGGGGGCAGGACAGCTGAGATTCCTCTCACCCCTGGGGACAGGGGGACAAACCACCCCATTCCACATCCCAGAGCCCAGGAGCAGCTTTCCCTTGGGAGCACTGAGGGCTTTCCATCTGCCTGTGGCCCCATGGCAAGAGAGCCAAACTCCAGCAGAATTTAATCCTGGGGAATCACCAGCCCAATCCCAAGGGGTGAGCAGCTCTGCTCCAGGAGGGGCACATGGCTCTGGCTCAGCTCCAAGCCCAGGGGATTTGCTCCATTTAGGATTTGTCCCTCTGTGAGTCTCCTGGGGGTCTGGCTGGGGGGCCCATGCCCTGTGTCCCTGTCCCTGCTGACGTCCTGCTGGGTGTAGGTTTCATCCCAACGCGTGGGACACGTGGATCTGATGATAATTTTATCTGCCTTGAAGTTTTCCATGCCAAGGTGCTCAGCTCCCAGTGGGAACAGCGTGACTGGGGGCTGTCCCAGAGCTCCTGTTCCATGGGGACACACACCAGAGCCTGACTGGGAGTTTGGAGACATCACCCTCCCTCTGGGTGCTGCATCCTTGGGGGACCAGGGATGTTTTTGGGGTGCTGATTTGTGGATGGAGCCTCAACCATTTGCTCTCCTTTCCCAGAGCTTCTCCAGCAGCAGAGACAGTGGGTGAAAGGATGTATGGAAATCCTATAGCTCCAGCTGTTCCCGAGCTGGGCAAAGTTCACATAGTGCAAAGGCTTCCTGCATGCTCAGCATGCCATGAGCTTTGGTTTCACAGCCCTAAAGGCTCTTGGAAATCACTGGTCCTTCACCCCATGTGGGAGGTGCATTGCCCTAGAGCAGGAATCTCAGCCAAGTGGATGTGGAAAATAACCACCAAGAGATTTTTAAAGGAGCAGGATTTGGGATGTTTTGGTGCTGTCACACTCAGGTTGAGCCAATTTGGAGGGGCTGAAGGTGTAGGGTGGACCATGTGCAGCTGCAGAGAGGGGGGAAAACATGGATTTACTAAGGAGAAAGTGTCCAAGAGGTGAAATACTACAGGAGTGGGGGCTCAGGTGGGATTGGGAGAGGTTGGGGGAGCTCAGTCTGGAGAAATGAAGGTTCAGGAGGACCTTACTGCTCTCCACAACTCCCTGCCAGGAGGTGCAGCCAGGTGGGCTCAGGCTCTGCTCCCAGGGAAGAACATGACAAGAGGGAATGGCCTCAAGCTGTGCCAGGGGAGATTCAGGTTGGATATAGGGAAGAAATGGAAAGGATGGTCAGGAATTGGAACAGGATGCCCAGGACAGGGGTTTAGTCCCTGGAGGGAGGTAACAGCTCTGTGGATGTGGCACGTGGGGACATGGTGGAAGTGCTGGGAGAATGGTTTGACTTAGAGAGCTTTCCCAACCTTTATGATTCCCAGGATCCTAAACAGCAGGAGCTCAGGTGGTGCTCAGAAGTGAGGGATCCCCATGAGATCCTGGAACTGTTGCCATACTGGAATATTCCACCTCAGTTCCTCTTTGCAGCCAGAGCTGACTCTGCCCTGTGGCATTTCATTCCACGTGGGCCATGGAATACCAAAATGCCTTTTTTAGGCTGCAGTTTTGGCTTCCCAGAACTTGGTGGGAGGCAGGAGCAATGCCTTTTCCCTTATAAGTCTTTCCCAAAAACCCAAACCCTCTTTAGCACAGCTGAAACCAACCCATGAACACTCAGGAAACCCTCATGGAAACTACATGCACATCCCACTGGGATCCTTTTTCCCTGCCAACATGCTGAGCTGCAGCTAATCCATGGGAAATGCTCCATGTGCCGATGGCAAACGGATGTGGGAGGATGTTGGGGACAGGTCCCAGCAGGGTGTCCCTGCCCTGGGTGTCCCTGAGCTGTGGAATGGTGTAATCAGAGTGCTGTGGCTCTCCCCAGGCACATTCCAAGCTGCACACCAGGAAAAATCCCTTTTTATAGCCTGGGGAAGCCATGGAGATGCCATCAGGATCCTCCTCCTGTTTCTGGCCGGGGTATCCCTGCTCCAGTTGGGAAATCATTAGTGTGAGATGAGGATGAGGTGTTGGATCTGACTTCCCTCTGGCTGCTGTGGCTGAAAACAGCCCTGGAAGGAGTTTGGGTGATTCCTCACTAATCTGCTTTCCTAGAGCACTGTTTGCAGTTCAGGAATGCTCCCAAAATTTTGGACCCCCCAGGTGAGTTATTTCAGTGCTCATCCCATGGAGGTTCTGTGCTGTGACAGCTCCACGTGCTCAGGGACATCACTCCCTTTTAGCTGCTGTGTTCCCATGGCAGGGGATGGTTTTGGGCTGCTCCCTGCCCATCCCAGGCCTAATTCCACCCAATGAAAACCCCAGTGGTGTGGGATGATCAGAGCCACCAGCCAAGGACAACCAGATCTGCCCTGGAGTTGTACCCTCAGGTTTGGAGTGATCCTGGACTCACCCAAGGAGGCTCAGAGAGGCCTTGGGCCACTTGGCCATGAGTGGTCAGGGCTTAAAACATATTCTCTGTCCCTTCTGGGGGATCCAGGAGGTGTCCAGAGAGGAGAGATCCCAGGTTGGAAGTCACCCCCAGAGGGAGTTAAGGGATGCTGTCAGTAACCAGCCCCAAGTTGTGTTCTGAGGGTGTTTCCATGCTGTTTGTTCCACACTGAAATTCAGGTGGTGTTTTACTCTGAATTCCCAAAATGTTTCCTCAGGGAGGCAGAGTTTTAAGTTCTCATTCCATGAGAAATCCCATCTTATGGATCTAAACTCACAGCCAGAGCTATTCCCACCTCCCTGGAGATCTGTGTGAGCCCCCAAACCCAACCAGTCACCTCCAAACCTTCTTCCAACCAGCCTGGGAGGAGGTTTGGAGCTGGAATTTCCAACACCCCATGGCAAAAAGACATTGCTGTGTTTGGAGGGAATTTTGTGCCCATTTCTCCTCCAGCAGAGCCAACTGAGAATTCCAACAGGACCTCCAAAGGAGATTGAATTGACTTTTTACTGAGGAGCTGATGTGCCAAACAAGCATTGCATGAAGGCTGCAGGAAGCACAGAGCAGGAGAGGAGTTGTTTTCTCAGCACAGTTCTACTTGTTCTGCTATAAAAAATTCCTTTCCAACTTCTCTTGAAGGCAATGGAATATAAAACAGTTAAAAAAAAACCCAACCCCCCCCCAAGGTGATCCTGTCCATGGGTGTGAATAAGTTAACTTCAGGTTCAAGTATATACAGAAGGGACTTGGCCACAGGACAGGACAAGAGTTTGCACCAATAAACCCTCATTCCCATTCCCAAATATTATTTACATCAGGCTGTACATGTGTTTTTTCCAGACCCTGGAAAGCAAGAAGGGATAGGATGAGTATCCAAGGTATTCCCAGCTCAATCCCTTGTGTCCCACCCCTCCAAGGCAGGAAGGATTTACCTATGAGCAGTTTAAGAGCTTGTTGTGAATGTCTTCCAAGACTTGGTTGTAGAGTTCATCCCTGGATTTCAGGCCATCTAAATAAACTGGGAAGAAATAAATTTAAAAAAAAGGGAGTCAGGCTGGAGGTTTCCAACAGAACAAGATTTTGGGGGGATTAATGTTAAATTCATGTTTGATTGTCCTAAATGACAACTTGATTTTCTGTTGGAAAAACAGACTCATCCCAAAACCACAATGGCCTGAAAAATCCTTTTCCCCTGAGAAATAATGTGACTTTCCTTCTTTTCATTCCCTTTTGATTTTCCTTTTCTTATCCCCTCTAGGTCCTCAGAACACATAACAAAGGGAATAAACTCTTAGCTGGAAAATTGCCTTATTTATCCAGACAAACCAGGGCAGGATTACAACTTGGCTGTAAAAATAGCTCCTTGCATCATTCCAGCCGAAGTTTCCTTGAGTTAAATCACCTAATTCCTTAAATTCCCAGCTCCAAGGGTTTGTGTTTTGGAAAACTTACCAACATCCACACCATAGTCCTCCATCTCCTTCCTGTGCTTCAAGTACATGGGCCAGACATGTCCATCAAAGAGGCCTGGGGGGTCAGGAACGGTGTAATTCCGTGTACTGGGAATAAAACCATGGAAAAGGGATGTCAGGAGTGCTGGGCTGGTGCAGACTGGGCCAGCTGCTCTGTGGTGGTGGTGGCAAAGCTCATTGGCACAGCTCAATTCCTCAGCCTGGGGAAAAGGAGGTTCAGGAGGACCTGATTGTTCTCCACAGCTCTCAGGGAATAACAGGACAACAGAGAATGGCCTCAGGTTGTGCCAGGAGAGATTCAGGTTGGACATCAGGAGGAATTTCCTCATGGAAAGAGCTGTCAGGCATTGGAACTGCCCAGGGAGGTGGTGGAATCACCATCCCTGGAAGGGTTTAAAACCCTATGGATGTGGCACTTGTGGACATGGTTTAGTGGTGAACATGGTTGGACTCAATGATCTTGGAGGTGTTTCACCACCTTAACAATTCCATGATTCTAAGTTTACCACATCAAAGGCTCTTTCTCCAATCCAATTCAAATTTTCCACTCTCATCCCAACTCACAATACCAATACATCCCATTAATTATGGACTGTCCATCCCTGGGAGTGTTCCAGGCCAGGTTGGATGGAGCTTGGAGCAACTTGAGCTGGTGGAAGTTGTCCCTGCCCATGGCAGGGGGTGGGATGAGATAAGCTTCAAGCTCCCTCCAACCCAAACCATTCCATAATTCCATGATTCAGAGCAGAGTGAAGATCTCTTTCCTTTCCCAGAAGGATTAGATTCCCATCAAAGAACCTCCTTACCTTCTCCTCCTCTTGCACTCGTCGTAGGGCACTGCCAGGTAGTAACGCAGGTCAAACAGGTCTATCAGAGGTCTGAGGAAGGGCAGAAAGAAACAGTGTGGAGATTTCATTCCTTTCGTGACAGAAAAAATGTTCAATCACCCCCAAAACCCTAAAAAAAATCTTCCTGCCTCTGCTGGTTGTGTCTGTTAAACACAACCCAAGTGTTCCCTCAGGGTTGCTATAAACCATGGAAATGAAGGTTCTGGAGGGGCTTTTCCCACCCAATTATCTGCCCCAAGTCCTGGGGAGGAACAGGCAAAGATCCTGGGGAGGATCTTAGAGGTCTTTTCCAACCTAAATGATCCCATGAAGCTCCAGGACTGGAAGTGGAAAACTCCCTTTGGGCAAGGGAAAGGCTCTTGGAACAGGGCTGAGGTTTCAGGGGTGTTTGTAACCTTCAGGAGACACCAGAGTTGCTCCCTGGGGTGAGGTCAGGAGCAGGAGGCAATGTGCCAGCACCATCTCCAGTTGGCCATTCCTGGCAGGGCTGATCCCATGTTTGGGAATCTGGGATGGTACAGCCTGTAAACAGCTCTGGCTTTGCCAAGTGTCACTCACAGCTTCTTCTCCGGAAAGGTCTTTGTAGACAAAACTCCACTGGGGAGCCAAGAATGTTTTGCTTGTCATGTTTGTCAGGGACAAAACTCCACTGGGGAGCCAATAGAATGTTTTGCTTGTCATGTTTGTCAGGTGTGATTGGCTGAAGCTTCTGGATTTGGCTCTTGGAATTTTTCTCTCCCTTCCCTACCAGTCCTGTCTCCCCTTTTTCCTGCCAAGAATTTTCCCTCCCCTGTATAAAATAGGTTGTTCTTTGCTCTGATGTACACTTAGAATCATGGAATGGGTTGGAAAGACCTTAAAGATCACCCAATCCCACCCCCTGCCATGGACTGGGACACTTCCCACCAGCACAGGTTGCTCTAAATCTCATCCAACCTGGCCTTGAAGTTAATCCCTAAATTCAGTTTAGTCAGTGTTAGACAAGAATGTGAGAGAATTATTCCCAAATTCCAGGAGAGATTCCAAGCAGTGAATGGATCATCAACTTGTTCTCACCAATGACCTTTCAGGGAGTGATTGAGAGGAACCTGAGCCCTGTTGTCACCTCAGTTCTGGCCTAAAGCTCCTCTGGAGCTCAAGGTTAGGGCCTGAATAAGAACTTCCTTGAGGAACTCACATTGTTCCCTCACTTTTAGCAGCACTTAGGGAATCATTTTCCCTTTCACAGCAAAAACTGAGTGGTGAGAATTCAGAGCTAGTCAGGGATGAAAATTCAGACCAAATCAAGAAGGGAGAGGTTTTTAACCCTGGATTGAGGGATTGAAGGATCTATGGAAGGATCTAGTGATCCTTGAGTAGTTCCCCAAGCCTTACTAGTAGTTATACAGCAGGAAGCCTTCAATGACCTATGGATCATCTCCTTGTTCTCATCAGAGACCTTTCAAGAGTGGATTGAGAGGAACCTGAGCCCTGTTGTCACCTCAGCTCTGGCCTAAAGCTCCTCTGGAGCTCAAGGTTAGGGCCTGAATAAGAACTTCCTTGAGGAACTCACATTGTTCCCTCACTTTTAGCAGCACTTAGGGAATCATTTTCCCTTTCACAGCAAAAACTGAGTGGTGAGAATTCAGAGCTAGTCAGGGATGAGAATTCAGAACAAATCAAGAAGGGAAAATTAGTGAAAAGAGGTTTTTAACCCTGGATTGAAGGATCTGTGGAAGGATCTTTGAGTAGTTCCATGAGTAGTTCCCCAAGTCTTACTTGTAGTTATACAGCAGGAAGCCTTCAATGACCAAGATGTGAGTATCTTGGGAGGCTGTTGGCTCCTTGGAGCCAGGTGTGATGTTCACCCCGTGGGCACGGGCAAATTTCAGTGGGTTCTCAATCCAGGCCTTCACTGTGCTCACCATTGCCTCCATATCCAAGGAGTCCAACACTAGTCAGGAGAAAGGGGGATAGGGTTGAGAGGGTGGGGGGAAAAAAAGGGACACAATCAAACATGATCAAACAGCACAAAGGCTCAGGAGGAGCAAACAGAATGAGCTTGTACAAACGGGAAACGATAGCAAATTACCGATTAAAGCTTTTAACAGCAGAAAAACAAAAAAAAAAAAAAAGGAATATTTAGGAAAAAAAGATACATTACTGCATCCTAGAGCCAGCACTGCTCTTACCATCCCACTGCTTAAAGCCGTCTTCCCCGACTTCTATTTGATCTTGTGGCTGAAATATAGTGAGCAATAAAACATTGCTGCGAGCTCCGCGCGCGGGCCGTGCCAGCCCAGCCCAGCCTGGCACCCACTGTGGCACACAGCCCCCTCCCCAGCCCTGGCACTCCCAGCTGGCATTTCACCAACCCCCCCAGGCCCTGGGCTCCTCTCCTGCCTCAGTGAAAGCTCTTTGGGCAGAGGTTTTGAGCTTAGTCACTTGGTGTGGTGTTAGTAGGTAAAAGAGTGTAGAGATTATTAACAGTTCTGTGCTATCAAAGAGTTCTAGGTAACCAACAGTTATAGATTATCAGCTGTTCTATGCTATCAACAGTTCTGTGCTATCAAACAGGTCTAGGTTAGCAGCAGCTATAGATTATCAACTGTTCTATACTATCAAACAGTTCTGGGTTATCAACTGTTTTATACTATAAAACAGTTCTATGTTGTCAACAGTTATAGATTATCAACTATTCTATACTATCAAACTGTTCTATACTATCAACTATTCTATACTATCAACTATTCTATACTATCAATCAGTTCTAGATTATCAACAGCTACAGACTGTCAACTGTTCTATACTATCAACAGTTCTGTACTATCAAACAGTTCTAGATTATTGATAGTTATAGATTATCAACTGTTCTGTACTATCAAAGTTCTATAATATCAGTTATAGGCTATCAAGAGTTATAAATTATCAATTGTTCTATACCATTGAACAGTTCTAGATTATAATCAGATAAAGATTATCAACTGTTCTATACTATCAAACATTTCTAGATTATCAGTTATAGATTATCAACAGTTCTAGACTATCAAACAGTTCTGTACTACCAAACAGTTATAGATTATCAACAGTTCTAAATTTTCAACTGTTCTATATGATCAAACAGTTCTATACTATCAGTTATAGATTATCAACTGTTCTATACTATCAACAGTTCTATATTATCAAAGAGTTATAGGTTATCAGCAGTTCTAGATTGATTATCAGCAGTTCTAGATTGATTATCAGCAGTTCAACATTATCAAGAGTTCTAGATTATCAACAGTTTGAGATTGTCAAGGTAGATTATCAACAGTTCTACACTATCAACAGTTATAAATTATCAACTGTTCTAGACTATCAAGTTACAGATTATCAACTCTTCTATTTTATAAACTTACCCAATGTCTAAATCCACACAAAAGAATGTAAAGTGCAAATCTTGTGTTAAGTAAAACATTATCAAGAGTTCTAGATTATCAACAGTTTGAGATTGTCAAGGTAGATTATCAACAGTTCTACACTATCAACAGTTATAAATTATCAACTGTTCTAGACTATCAAGTTACAGATTATCAACTCTTCTATTTTATAAACTTACCCAATGTCTAAATCCACACAAAAGAATGTAAAGTGCAAATCTTGTGTTAAGTAATAGCTAAAATGTACATTTTTCTAGAGCAGGAGTTTGAAGTTTAATGGAAACACAGGTGGGAGGAGCTTTGGGTCACACAGAGACAGCTTTGGTGATGCTCACCCAAGGGAGAGGTTACAGAGCTTTATGGGATCAGAATTCCTCTTCCCAAGGGTTTCTAGCTGAGTAAATCTGTGCAGGAAGTTTTTCCAAATGGATGTTTGGGTCTGTTTGCTAAAGCACGTTGTCCTGCAAGGGCAGCACAGGCTGAGCACATGGTGCTGGAGCACCTCACGTTTTGGAGGTGACATACAACTCCTCCAAGTCCTTTCCTGCATCTCTTGGCCTTCCACATGTGGTGGAGTCTAGGAATATCATCATTCCCAAGTGACTGCAGCCTAGAGGGCTTGGGAATGTGGTTCTGCACTCCCAGCACTGGTTTTCCATGTTCATCTCTGTGATCTTTTAACTGGATGGAGCAGTCAGAACTCTCCCCAAACTCCTTTTTGTATTTAAAGCAGCACAGAAGTGCCTAAAGCCCAAAGGGTCATTGAGGAGCTACATTCCTACTAAGGTAAAACGAGGAGGAATAACCCAACATGGAGAAAATCATTTATGCAGAGCAAAGTCAATAATCTCTGACCAAAATCAGCAGTTTGACCTGAATTTCTATCTGCTGTGAACACTAAGGAGAAGGTTTTGCTGCCACTGCTGTGCCCTGGGGTGTGACACTGGTAAAGGTCAGCACCTCCCACCTGTCCAGTCAGTTCAGAATTAAATAGATACTAAAAAAAAACCCTAAAATCAGAAGATGTGTGGCTCCAAACTGCCCTGGTGAACATACAGGAGCACCTGACACTCACAGGGGACCTACCACAGCTATCCCTGCACATAGAAGCAGCAATGAGAGCATTCTCTGAGGAAGAGGAGGCTCAGCTTACCTTGAAGAAATCATCCTGATGGACCACACAGCAGTTGGGGAGTGCCTTGATGATCCTGTTGGTCAAGGTGGTTTTGCCACCATTGGTGACACTGCACAGAGGGTGAGACAGAGGTGGGAGAACAGTGTTAGGACTGGGTTGGAGACAGGTCTAAGAGTCACTGGCAGGACCTGTGTGGGACACCCAGCCCAGAAGGAACTGAGTCCTGAGGGACCTGAGCCTCTGACCATGGAGAAACCCAAGCCCCTGACCATGGAGGGACCTGAGCCCCTGACCATGGAGAAACCCAAGCCCCTGACTCATGGTGAAAGACTTTAAGGGACCTGAGTCCCTGAGCACGGAGGTGCCTGAGGCCTGACCTGTGAGGAACATGAGCCCCTGACCAGGGTGGGACCCTGGCTCTGACCCACAGTGGAAAACCTTGAGGGATGTGAACCCCAGGCCATGGAGGAACCTGAGTCTCTTACCATGAGGAAACCTGGACTCTGACCAGTGGTAGAAGACCCTGAGGGACTTGAGCCCTGGCCCAAGGTGGGACCCAAGCCAATGATCATGTGGGGACCTGGCTCTGACTCATGGTGGAAGACCTTGAGGGACCTGAGTCCCTGACCATGGGGAACCTGAGCCCTGACCATGGAGTGACCTGAGCTCCTGTTCATGGGGGACCTGAGCCCTGACCATGGAGGGACCTGAGCTCCT